AGAGCAGATTGGCTCTCTGAGAAGAGACTCCTCTTGACAAAAGCAGTGCTGGCTCAGACAGAATCAACAAACCACCTGCATCTGACCTGAACCAGTTCTGTCTGCATGTCCTAACTTTCCACAAATGTTCAACAGTCATGGAGATCAAGTTCAATAAGTCCCAAAAACAGTTGTGGTGGAGGATCAAAACTGTAAGAAAGAATGCCAACACGCACTGGAGAGTGTTCGCATTGGTAACACTTTTCTTACATTTTGAACTATTTCCTAGATGTATGACCTTAAAGTAGTTACTTTATACTCTAAAATCCATTAAATATGTATACTGATGTATAATAATATGTTTAGGTACCATTTAGTTTGGTTAAAGTTTCTTTCTAGGGTCTTTGTCTTCTCTTGGGTTGTTGGGTTGTTAGTCTGGTGTTTAGTTTGTAAATGTTATTGTTTATTACTTGCAATTTTCCAATGAACACAATGTGTTTCTTATCAATATTAAATATTCTAGCCCACTTTCCTTAAGCTTCAAAAGTCTTACCAAGGTTCCCCATTTCACATATCTCCAATATTAAGTATGATTACCTGTATTTTAAATATGTTTTATAATTAACCAAAACTAAACCAACAAAACGATGTCATGTACAAAATTATGAAATTATTTAATTTGTCTTGAATACATTTTAAGTTTGGACGCTTGACACTTGGCTGGATACAAAAATATTTCATAACATGATTTTGTATTTTGTTTACCAATTGTGTCTCCCAGCCTGAACTAAAGGGCAGGGTTAGCTGTGAGGGGAGGCACACCGCCCCTTGGCCAACAGGTCAAAGACCTGTTTGTTTTAAATATGTACCTAAAACTCCTGGTCAGGTTCATTCCCTCAGTCACTCGGAGCAGGCTCTCAGGAACCAGCAGCAGTCATGCAGCGGGCTTTGTTCAGCCGGAGCGCGCTGCTCGCCCAGCAGGCAGCAGCGGCCCTCGATGGTCCGTTGGCCGCCAGGAGCGCGCCTCTGCTGCTCAGACTGGACCGCTCCATGTCCTCCGTTTCCATCCCGCCGCCGGCATGCATGCTCCGGCCGCTGGAGACTCCACTGCGTTACCTGTTCGGACCTGGACCCTCAAACGTTCCTCCACGTATTTTAGCCGCACAGGGCAGGCCGATTATCGGTCACCTGCATCCAGAAATGTATGAGGTAAATGCTTTGTTTGAACATCTCAATAGTATACAGAATTCATTTAGTATTGTTACATTTTAAAATTGTGCACACTTGCTCATTGATTAGGATAAAGGACAACTTGCGAAATATTTTCTTAACCACAGAAATATTAGTTTTCTTAAAATAAATTAAAGTTGAAGGTTTGTTGTGGTGCAACACATATATGTTAATATACATTCTTCAGATTTTATTATAAAAGTTATCAAATAAATATTTGCATAATATCCCAAATCAATAGCCCATGCACTGAAATAACTTCAAGTTGGTAACAATAACTGACTAATTAAATGCTAAACGAGATTTCAAACTTTGTATTGTCTCCGCCAGATCATGAATGACATCAAGCGAGGGATCCAGTACATCTTTCAGACAGAGAACAACATGACTATAGCTATGAGCGGCTCCGGGCACGCGGCCATGGAGTGTGCAGTGTTCAACACGGTGGAGCCGGGGGAAAGCGTGCTCGTTGGCGTCAACGGTATCTGGGGAGAGCGCGTCGCAGAAATTGCAGAAAGAATGGGTACGTCTTTACGCAAGGTTTTACGCACGCGTCAATTGGGTCTCCAAAGAAGATACACATACGTTTACACGGATTGTGCACTCATTGCATTATACCATGCATTCCTCTACCTATCTCTCTTTCTATTGGTGGAAAGTAACAAAGTACATTTACTCAAGTACTGTGATTAAGTTAGGTTTTAAAGTACTTTAATCTAATAATGTCCATGTTCTGCTACTTTATACTTCACTACAACTGAGGCAAAAATTAAGTAAATATGATATAGTACAAATATGTGTTTTTTTTTTATCAAGATTAATATTACAAAACATATTAAACTTATCCATGATGATATATTATTAAAACTATCCATAGGTATTTCAAGTAATTAGAGTGAGCTCCAGCTTTAGTTGCAAAAATAAAGTGATAAGGACATTAATGCATAAATTACATGATATATTATGATATACATATTTTGAAATAAAAATAATATAAAAAATATATTATCCTGCAAACTTTTGAATACACTGATAGACTATGGATAAACTGTATAGTACAACTTTAATTTAGATGGATTATCTGATTACTTCTTTAACCTTTCTTTCATTCTATCCATTACAGATTATGACATTTGTTTTTACACTTTTAGGTGCCAATGTACATAGAATGGTAAAAGCACCTGGAGGATATTTCAGCAATAAGGAAATTGAACAGGTAGGCACTTATCATTTACTAAAGCTAGAATAAACCACTACACAAATGTCTAATACCTCAACCAGAACTTGTATGTGATTGTATGTGACTTGTACAAGTAACAAGAACACGTATGTGATTAAACTCACTTCTACATCTTTCTGTAGGCTGTAGAAAAACACAAGCCCGTCCTGTTTTTCCTCACACATGGAGAGTCCTCCGCTGGCCTCTGTCACCCAGTAGACGGCATTGGAGACATTTGCAGAAAGTAAGCCTCCTAATGTATCTGCCTAAACATACACTTTCATAAAATGACCAAATAAAATATAATATTTCCCCTATACTGTCCTCTCTCCCCCAGACATAACTGCCTCTTCCTGGTTGACACAGTCGCATCTCTTGGTGCAGCACCAATTTTTATGGACAAGCAAAGTAAGACTAAAAATAAAACAATGAATAACATCAGATCACATTCTGTCAGCTGCTACAATGTGCTTATGCGTGATGTAATCTGCCTCTTGTGCTTCCAGATATTGACATCCTGTACACTGGTTCTCAGAAGGCTCTGAACGCGCCTCCTGGCACAGCACCCATCTCCTTTAATGACAGAGCATGGTGAGGGGGGGGCTTTCTGCATGCATCTGTAGATTTGAGAGATACATTTCTGCCACTGCAAGGATTATTAGAGTTAGACCATTCATGTATCTATTTGTCTCCCTGTTACCCCTCAAAGCCACAAGATGTTTAACAGGAAAACAAAACCAGTATCCTACCTCTTCGACATGACATATCTGTCCAACTACTGGGGTTGTGATGGCCAACCAGCCAGACTGTAAGTCCACAACGGTTTCATGTCACCTAAAACCATATTTTAACTTAAAGTATTATTATGAAACGTTTTTTGGTTGGCTCTGGGTTTTAGATACCACCACACCGGTCCAGTGTCTGGATTCTTTGCCCTGAGAGAGAGTCTGGCCATTCTTGCTGAGAGGGTAAAGGAACATTAAATACATATTAGTATCTTTGTTTATGTGATCTAAAATGTATTTACGTAGGCCTACACTATATTTGTCTTAAGCCGGTTTGTTACAGATACAAATTCTGGGCTGTGATAGGGGCATACCATGCTCTTTATTTATTTGTATTAAAAAAATAAAACTATAAGTGAGATAATAAAACTATAATACCTAGCAAAAACATAGAGCAAACTATCAATAAAAAACAGAGGTTCTTCATGTCTGAAAAAAGGAGTAGAATAAAAAGGTAGTATTTATCAAATCTTGCCTTTTTTTAATATATTGTAAAATGTGATAAAGAAGTTGTGTTTTCATTTATCTAGAAAAAGCACACAGCCTCTATTACTGCAGTAGTTTGGCCTTGGCAGTGTCTCTAACTTCTGGTCTGATTCTCACGTACCTCCATTGATCTTTGTCTCCCTCTAGGGGCTGGAGGAGTCCTGGAAGAAGCACAAGGAGGTGGCAGCCTACCTTTACAGGGGACTGGAGGACCTGGGCCTCAAGCTCTTCATCCCTGATAGGGTGAGACAGACAACAACAACAAAACGACACGCTGGATATAAAACGCTAAAGAATATAGATACGAAAAAGTTATTAGTTTGGAGCTCTGTATATCACTGCACTACAACTGACAGTTATGTTGTATCCTGCAGGACCTGAGGCTTCCCTCTGTCACCACCATCGCCATCCCTGAAGGCTACAACTGGAGGGAACTGCTGGCCTACATCATGAAACACCACCAGATGGAGATGACTGGGGGCCTGGGTCCTTCAATGGACATGGTGGGTGCTTGCTGTCAATATTTTAACCCTGTACAGTTGACAGACACATGTATGCCTTTGACATTAGTCATTATCATCTGACCTGTAGATTGTAGATGTGCACAATAATCTCAGCATCTTTGCATCAGGTTGCTCTAAAAAGATAACTATTTCTCCCCAAATAAACATAACCAGGGAAATAGTCTCATTCAGAATACTCTAATCAAGTAAACATTAAGATCAAACCACATTCAACAGTTATAGCAAGAGCAATGTTGTCAGTTTGTAGCCTTTACAGCTTTCTGAGTCATGCTGCTGAGTCATTTTAATGCATTTTCCACCTCTCGTTTCATTAGGTGATGAGGATTGGATTGATGGGATACAACTGCGAGAAGACCAATGCTGACATGGCACTGCATGCCCTGGCAGACGCTCTGAAGAACTGCAAAAAGAGCAAGGCTTAAGAGACCGTTCTCCACTCACCCTGTACTCATTCATTAAGGAATAAAACATTAAGTGTCCCGAAAACGCTAGAAACCTGGAACAGCGCATTGGTTCTGCATGTTTCTGTGCTTTTGACGGTAGAGATGTTATGAAACCTAAGGCAATGGGCCTTTCGTAAGTAGACTAGTTTAGAAATAAAGGAGCAGATGTTTTCATTTATGTTCCACTCTCAGTGCACTGAAAGCTGTCAATAAAGTGTGCTTTAATTTATCAAACACTAATTTTCCTGCCTTAATGTGTGATAACAGTACAAATGTCAAAAGCATGGTCAAAAGTCTATAAATGTGCTTAACCTTCAGAACTACATTACCCAGGATTCCCTTCTGTGATAGCCGTATATAAAAGTGATTAACAACACTGTCGCAGTTTATTACGTGACATAATAGAGCAGGTGTGTTAGTACTTCTGCCTGATTTATACTCGCTTTAGAGTCTGTTGACTGCAATTTGGATTATAAAATGACGTGTCCTGCAAATCAGACAGGTAGGACAATGGTTAACATTTATAATATTATATTATACACATATTAGAATCAATGTCAAATGTAGGTTCACGCTGCAATGTCGCAGGGATCAAATGATACCTTGCAGTAACGTTACTAAAAAATAATTCGGCAGCTTTTTAGAGCAATAATTTACAGAAAATGATCAAAGTGAAACGTTACATTTGTCCTGAGGTTTGTGACAGTTTTTACATCAAGCTTACCATTGAATTTAGGATATCAGTGAGCTTTAACAACCGAAAGTAGCTTAATTCCGTGATAGTAAACCAACCAGGGACAGGTGGAGACGTTGTTTTAGTACTCTGACTTTTAAATGGGTTATGTTGTGGTCTGCGAATCAAAACGTCGCGAAATGTTGCTGTGATAAATGCGTGTTTTTTGCAAAGTGTTACTTATATTATTGATATGAGTGTTGAACAAAACATTCACCTTCCTCTGAAGAGTCTTCTTCTGGTTTCTGCCAAATGTCCTTCGCTCCATCGCCACCTACCGTTAGAATGGGAGAGCTGCAGCACATACAGTGTATATAGTGCATTTTTATTAGGACTCTTCCTTGCATCTAATTCACATTTTCTTCCCTCCCTGTTGCAGGAATATACGTTTAGGGGGCTCTTTTATTTCACATTCTCCAGTTACTTAAAAGCTCTGCCATGAAGGTTAATATAACCATGTGTATACTGTTCAGATTCTGGTGACATTGTCAGCAAAATGTGTAAATCAAAGACATTGGGATTACACCATTTAAATAATATAAAAAACCCACCTGAATAGGATGCAGTCCAGGCAATATTGTTATAACTATAGTAAGAGTTCTCGTTTCTATTCTACATTTCCAGCACAAAATGCAACAGTTGTTTTATGCTTTACATAAAAGTGAATGACAAGGAGAGATAGCCTACACTTTGATCAGAAGACAATTAGATACATTTAAACAAAAGAAAAAAATAGAATTAATGGAAAAATAAACGCTTTAAGGAGAAATTATTAAGAGTCTTTTGATTTGTTATCTTGGTGTTTTAAAGGTGTTACTCTGGTCTGTTTTTTCACTCCCAATTGTATAACATTGTGTTTGTTTGATTAAAAGTTCATTCAAAATGAATGACATGCTGAGTTACAGTATATTAGTGTATTCTTATTTGTGGCATCACCCATCACCACCTGATATTGATTGAATCTGTTCTCTGTTTTCATGATAATGGAGCGTTTGATGATATTATTTCATGATTATGATGTTTTTTACCATCAGTGGAGTTGAACCAAGCCCTCCTCGCCCTCGACTGGCTTCTGGGTACCTGGGAGTCGGATGAACCTGGTGAGGGCAATTTTCCCTCCATAAAACCTTTCCACTACATAGAGACACTGAACTTCAGCCATGTGGGACAACCAGTCATCAACTTCACGTAGGTAACTCTGGGAGAATTTAGAAATGTAACACTAAGCTGAAACATTTTGTTTTGAGGCCCTCTCTGGTTTATTCTCTCAACTCTTTGTTTACATCTTACCTTAGGAAATGTGCATCCTGTTAACAGACGTTTTATTAATTTCTCGTTCTTATTTTGTTTGACAGGTTTAACGCCTTCCATGCAGAGACCAAAAAGCCCATGCACAGGGAGTGTGGTTTCATTCGAATGCAGCCGGGAACTAACAGAGTGGCGTTCATCATCGCACAGAACTCAGGTGGTTACATTCATGTTGCTGGATGTACCCTTGTTTTGTATTGTATTTCTGTTATATGTGGTGATTTTGAAATCACTCAGATGTGCAAAGGCCTGATGTGTAAGTATTTTCTGAGGCAATTGTAAGGTTAAATTGAATATATAAATATAAGAGGTGACTCAAGGCATTAGTGAAGAGATATATTCCAGACATGACATAGAGAGATACATTTTTCTCATAAACTAAACTTAAAATTGTGCATATAGTGAATTTTTAAGCGCTAACTTCCTGTGACTTCACACATGTTTTGAGACCAGTGTGTCTTTATGTGCAGGTCTGGTGGAGATTGAGGAGGGGGATCTGACCGGGCAGCAGCTGAACCTTCAGAGCCAGGCGGTGGCCCGGACCTCCTTCGCCAGAGAGCCACATGTGCAGAAGGTAAAACTGGTTCTCTGATCCTGCATCATTAATAATTCATATTAACTACTGCCCACACACAGTCCAAAAAGCATCAACAAAACATAACTTGTTTTATTCAATAAATGATTTATGCTTCCTTTTGTGCCGATGTCCTCGCCCGCACTCTTCAGATTTCTCGAGTGATTCAGCTCCGATCAGATGGGAGGCTGGAGCAGAGCGTTTCCATGGCAACAGACAACCAGCCTCTGATGCAGCACTTGCACATCACCTACCGTCGGTCATCATAACCCAACAGGCTGCTGGGCTTCTTATAATAGCAGTATTTTGGTCAGGAAAGACAAATGTTGCTGAAATAGGGCATGATGAAAAATCACTGTTAAGTCAACGAATCATTTAAAACAGCTTGGGGTAGGGTGTGTATTATTGCATTACATACAATAACCGAGAGTCAGGCATTACAGTGAGAAACGTGTAGAGTTATATTCAAAAATGTAAAAAGCCCTGTGGAGTTTTCTTATGAACAAACACACATTATGATTACATTCAGTTTCAAACACCGTGTGTGTGTTCATGAGGTTTAACAAAGCACATCTCCTTCCTCATAGAACAAGGTATTTCATTATTTACAGCCATGGTAAAGAGCAACCAGTCTTCTTCTTCCCTGCATTTGCTGGCATTCTGCTGTATATCTCAGTACATTACCATCACCTGTCGATTACTGAAATAGAGTTAAACCAGAAACTACAGGTATAAAACTCCACTGGGAAGATTTATTAAAAAATAAATGTATTATTATTTGCACTTAATGGCCTTGGCTGAGTACAGGTGCTTACGGTATATTTATATATATTGTCTGGATATTTATTCTTGGAGCTGGTCAGCTTATAAAGCACTGATGAACTAATGTTGTGCTGTGTTCTCATGTCTTGAACTTTCATTGCACTAAGTTAAAATGTAAAGCTAAAGTAACTGCTGTCCTGCTGGAGTGAATGGAAAGGGTTTTGTGTGTAAAAAGTCAGTTATTCTGAGTGTCATTTACGTGTTTGTTTGGTTTATGTCTGTCAGTGGACAGGTTCATAAATATAGATGTTCTCACACGGGTTGCATTAAAAAGAAAAGTTATTTGACTTATTTCATTTGACTTTGTCTTCATTTACTTTAATATCTTAATGTTTTTAATCCTCTTGATCGCTTCTTGGACTTTTTTGGAGCATTTTATAGCCTTCAGTAAACGAGGGGGGGATTGTTGTGATATGACTATGACATGCAACAAGAACCCACCTTTAAACCCCTGTGTCAAATCAGTGGGTAGTAGCATCAAAGAATAAACAAAGTAAGCAAAAGTGTTTAGATTTGTTAAGTTTATTATAGCTTTTTAGAAAAAACATTCAGACACATTTATAAATTAACACTGAAAGTTACAACCATCAAGCATACCACACAATCATCCTGGAGAGCCGTGGTCTTTATACTGCAGTGGCTTCAAGTCATATTCAATATAGAAAATACAAATCATAGATACAACTTTATACAGATTCAAAAAAGGAATCAAGTTCACCAAAATACATGCATACAGTTCATACCATTCCTGTGTCCTTAAGTTCTTTGGCCAAAAATGAGACCCAACATTTCTTGGTCAACGATGTGTGGAATTGCAGCAGCAGGTTTTGTAGTATTTGGGAAGAGACACTGCTTGTGCTTTGGTGAAGTACAATAGTGTAAATCAAAGAATTGATTGCTGTTGAAACACCTTAGCTTCATCATGTGATAGCAGGCCTTTTCACACTAGGAAAACTCACGAGACCCAGCCAGCTGAGCACAGATTTTCGTTTCAAATGAGGCTTTCACCTCAAAATATTCATTCAGGTTAATTCTCTGAGACAAACACCAAATCAAAGCATTGAACGTTTTATCTCAGGAGTGCAAAAGACCTCACATTCAACCTGAACACCATCACACTTTACAGTTACAACACTGGAGGTGTCTACCGCACCAGTGTAAGCAGTGTGAAAGTATGCAGAAGAGGTGGAGTGACACAAACTTAATTCAATGCCATTTATGCTCTTGAGTGACAACTCTTTGGATGAAGAGAAATCACTTATCGGAAACTGAGATGACACAAACACGATGCTGATGAAACATTTGTCGATGGTCATTCAGCAGACTGACATCTGCACACAGGCACGAACCATCTCCGACCCACCCAATGTCATTTAAAACAATGATGATGACTCCTGTGCTGATTCATGGTTCCTTCATGATGTACACGTACATTGTAGTGAGGAAATACTTCAGGGACTCGATGGCAGACGACAGCCAGTGGTGCTCAGGGGTGAGATCCTTCTTCACCACACATTTCGTCATCTCCGCCTAATGAAAGGAAATTCATACTTTTAAAAAATGGACTACAAATACCTACACATATTTACTGTGTTTTAAAAAAAATCTAAATTCAAATATAATTTCCAGGAACCAGGTGAACTATCAGGGGAAACTCCTTCCCCAAAACACATTCAGGAACAAGGCAGCCCTCCAGTGGTGAAAATAAAGGCGAGACTTGGCTAACATGTTTTTATTATAACTATTCTCACAAAGTAAACCTGAGGCTGATGAAAACGGTGTAAGTTGTGCAGCTATTACTCAAAAATACAAATTGAATTCACCAGATAATTGACTGACAGGTACATCACAAATTGTTCAGAGGTGAGCTGACTTATTTTCCATTTTTTTGTAATCATTGGGTTGCTGCCTTCTGTTTTAGTTTGCTCATAGAAAACAAATGATTTACAGTATGTCTGATCTTATTTGAGCATGAAAAAACTTATATAAGCACATTTTTGTACTCCTTTTTACCAAAAGAGGGCAATAGAAACAAATGAACTGCAAGTATTAGTATCAGATCAGCCAACAGGAAGCAACGGTATGTATGAAAAAGCTACATATTCAAACCCATAACTGGGCCTTTCTGAGCGAGCTTCTCATTTTATGCAACTCCCCTCTGACTCAGAGCTTGTGAAAGCAAAGTGAGCTCTGATCCATGAACAAGATAACATTATCAGTCATCTAGCTTCAACAAACGTTTTTGCAAATTTAAACCCAAAAAACAAGATGTAAACAGTGCATTTCTTACTTTCTCAGATGTTAAATTGTTTGATTTTAATTAAATATTTCCACCAAAAGTCTCAGTAACATCCTAATACAGCAGCATTCATCATATAAAGATCAGGGGAAAAGCTAGTGCACCTACCCATCCTCCCCGTCTCTTCAGCCAGGGAGCCAGGAACTTGCGGACGAACTGTCCCAGACTGTCCACTATGATGTGCACGGTGGTGGGGTAACCGTTTCGGACACAATCCACTGCCAGGGCTCCGGCTACTGCAAACATGGCCACCACCTTACCCCATGTTATACCTGCAGCAGAACAGAACACACATCACCCGGTTATGTGTTATGTCTTTTGTTTTACATCTATGAATAGGGAAGCTTTTCTGATAGGCATCTTTTTTTGCTTCAGATATTTACAAAACAGTGATTTTGTCTTGCGGTCACACAGCAGTTGTTTGATAAGTAAGAAGCAAAAAATATCTCACTACAATATCGTGAAGCCCTGAGCGTCTATCCTCCATGGAGGCAGTGTTTCCTGACTGTTATCAATAAACTGCTTTATTTACACCAACATAAACACTTTGTTTTCCTGTTCTCTTGGGTGCAAATCCTAGTCAACACCCATCTCCTCTAGCCTCTTGTGAACAAAAAAAATAGGTTTGATAATTTAGATATTTTATTCAATTTGCTTTTCTTATTTATTGGCTTAATTTCAGTTAACTGTAAACTTAAATTGCATGACATTATGTTTACTGTAATAAATAACCTAATCTCTTTCATTTTTTCTTCCCTCATCTGTTCTATTGTTATTACTTAAAATGTATGTTCTTTAATTGCCCAAATGCAAGTAAATTTGTAATTTTGACCATTTAACTCCTACTAATTTGAAATGAAACAGCGTGTAATGTTGGTCACACCCCCATGTTTGTTACATTACTAAAACGCCCAGGAAGTGTGTTTCACGGTACATTAGGACTGCAATAAACTGCCTGTAATGGGGGTTGAAATAATGGCCTCAGTGTCACGTCTCCAAAAGAGGACAAAAATGAATGACCCGGTCTTAGGAAGGTTACATATTCTGTGACCTGACATGAAGCATGGGAGGCAGTTGGTGTACTTTGTACTGAAACAGACTGTAAATACGAGGTTTAAGTCAACAAACCAGTGCATTTGCGTTAATGTAGCTGATAAGACGTCTTTCCAGCCAGTTATAAATTAAAAAGTGTGAGATTGTGTTGCCTTTGCATGGATGTGGGCGAACACTGACGCAGTTTCTGCTATGGGGAGGTGGACGGGTTCAGAAATGATTTCGCATTCACCACTGAGAAGCAGTCATAAAGCTGAAAAAGGAACATTCTTTGTCCCTCTTTCAACCTAAACAATCTGATAATTAATGGCATTGAGCCATTTCTAGGTTCAGTTTCCATGGCAGCTGGGATGTTATAACGACCGTCAGTGATGCAGTGCAGGGCCTAATGGCATTAGTCTCCTTAGGCCAGCATGCATTGTCATGGCTGACCTACAGTGTCAGGGGATAGAGCGAGCTCTGGCCAAGATTAAATGAGATAACTGTCCATGAAAGCTGTCAGAGGACGTCACATAACGCTCCCTACTGAGAAACAGGCCAAGAATAGAGACAAGATAGTCAGGGATAAACCTGGAGGAGGGCGGAAAGCGGAAGAACAGAAGTGGGAGGCAGGCGAAGATAGATGGATGAGAGACAAGCAGTGTTAATTTTACTGAGGGACACCACAGTGCAGATGGCCGCTTAACCGCCTCTATAAAGAAACATGTGGTTTGATATGTAGATTCACTGGTTTATCCTTTATTGTGGTCATGTTAAGCACGTTCATAGTGAAGAATGACAGAGACACTTTATAGAGCAAATTCCGTACAGCGGGAGAAACAAGATGCATTTTTCTATTTATATTCAGGTTCCAACCCTTCCCAGAAGGCTGGAGCAGCCTGGGTTCACTAGTTTGTTATTCTTCAGGAGGAATCCCACGCTTTTTCCAAAAATGTCCTCCTTGTGACGTCTAAACAAGGATAAGTTTAGCAATGCATGACAATTATAAAAAGCGGATCAATTTTGTATCTTTCCTGGAAACATGACTATTTACACAGCGGCCAGACCCTCTAATCTCTCCCAAAGGCCCATACTGAGGACAGAAGGTCACTCTTTATTTGAATACTTCAAAATGTCAGTGGTACTTTATTTAGTGAACAAAGCAGATCTGTTGTCAAGACAACTTGAAAGAAGTCCAAGAGCCAGCACACACACAAGTCGAGACGTGACTAGACCAACCAAACCAAAGGCATCTCTCAAGACCAAGACTGAGGAAAGATCAGAACAATGGGACATGAAGAGGAAATCACAGGGTGTAGTTTAGTAAAGAAAGAATACATTATGGTTACTCTACCAAGTGAAACAAATGCCGGATATCCGACCAACAACCAATTTCAGCGAGTTGAGATGCACTTTCCATCAACTTTTATAGGCTGTGGTACATTTGGATGATACTTCAACATGCTCACCTCCCATCTTTGTCAAAATACTCATCAAATATAATAGGTATCAAAATATAACTTGATCCCTAGGACTGTAATATATATATATATATATATATATATATATATATATATATATATAATATTGATAAAAGTAGGGTAGACTGCCTAAAATATAACATGTAATTATTGTATTCATTTTAAAACCCTGCAAGCACATTTTATTGTACCGATTCAAGCTAATGTAAAAGCTTTTGAGCCGATTGCACTAAAAGTAAACCTATGATGTTGGATGTTAGGGACTGTGATGGAACGCAGATTCCACCGTTTCCATTGCATAAAAGTATACATATATGCATATGGTGGTGTGTTCTTTATATTATGATGCATATCAGATATTTAGACCTGATTCAGGACCAAAAGTGGGCAGTTTTGTGTAAAGAAGAATATCTTTATGTTCTCAAAATAAGGCAGAATACTTTAATTCATGAAACTCCATACCCACAAACAAATCAGTGTCTAAACTTAGAGATCCCAAAAATCAGTGGGAGCTATTATGTGCTTTTAAATGAAGTCTCACTCCACCTACTTATGATTCACAGCCACTCACTCTCACTAAAAGCACCTCGCAGCCAAAAGAGGCTGATGGAAACTGCAGAGTCACACCTGTTAAATCACAGTAACGGCCCTCATCAACAGTCACAGACTATGTGGAAGTGTAAACCACTTCCTGTGCTGGCTGAAGACTACAGCTCTGTATCCAAATAACATACTAGTTATGATGCTTAAGACGAAAAATTGAGTATGTAATACATTCCAACTGCGCTTGGTGTTTGGATTTTGTGTATGTGTGAAATGCTCCGTGAGCTTAGTTAAGATACCAAACAAACCCCAAAATGCATTGCATCTAATATGCAATGGCTGCGAGGCAGGCGGTTGAAAATCAATAGTAATCATTACGAATAATGGCAAGTATGTCCAGGTAAAGTTACATATAAAAATGAACTGGAGCCTACTAATTTAACACTAAGCCTGCATATGCATTTGTGATAAAGGACAAAGCTTGGATCACAATGTTGTGTCAGGATGGCCGAGCGGTCTAAGGTGCCACACTCGAGGACAGACAAATGGAGGCATCGGTTCAAAACCTACTTCTGACGACGGGAGGGACTTGGCTCCGGAAATTAGTTCAAGTCCTGATCGGACCAAAAAAATACAGTGTGAACTGATAGCTGGAGAGGGACCAGTTCGCCATCTGGGTACTGCTTGAGCAAGGCATCAAACCCCCAAATGCTCCCGGATGCTCTGCCACACTAATGCATGTGGTCCTGTTTGTATATTTGTTCATGTGTATAAAACTATGCGTGTAATGTAACACCCTGAATTGTATCAAAAAAATAATGTCTTTCTTTCTTTCCTCATAAGGCGCATTGATTGATACTTCCGTGTGAACAGTCTGTTGGTAATGGCATACTTAATCTTTAGTTTAGTATGCAGTACATGCAGATTGAGGGTGTGCTATGCAGTAAGTTAGAATGCGATGTTGAGCACAGCCTCCATGTTTAGTTTGGATAACGTACAGTCTGCTACATCATCATCACCTTCAGCAACAGCCGTGTACCTGTTGAGAAGATCTCTGTCGCCACTCCGATGAAGGCATCTGAAACCATGTTCTCCATGGCAACAGAGATGTTGAGCTGCCGCGCCACGTTCCTGTACAAACTGGGCTGTATACACTCCAGCTCGTCGCCTAGGTAACAGAGAGGGAGCACAGACACACAATAAGAGAGAGAAGCATTAAAAGTCTGTGTAAACCGATTGTTTAAATGTCTGGGTTAAACAAGCTTTTAAACAACCTTTACACTGATTCAAACTATTTGACTGGTCCGATAGTAGAGTGACTCTGATGTTAGGATGTTCAAAGTAAGACTTATCTCACCAAAATAGGACTCTGGGCACTTTAGCTGCTGTGTTAACTGATTCAAGTCCTCCACATGTAATCAATTTGTTCTAGATATCCATACATACAAAGACATCTCTTTCTCTCATCCTCTGAACCGAGCTTATCAGAGTTTGAAAATGATCAACAGTGCAGTGAAAACTAGGAGTGAATAATCTGGTTAAACAGATCTATATATATTGCAATTATTATGACCGATTGTGCATTTGTGATACGATTCACAATATTGGAGGTGAATGTGAATCATTATTCTCATTTTCATTGAAAAACATATACAAAAATAATCATGATGTGACTTATTGATAGGATCTGTACCAACGAGAGATTATTTCTCATGTCTTTAGAATAATATGTGCACCATAACATTTCATTTGGTAGAGCATTTTTACACATATGTTCCCTTAAACAAATTGCGCTTCCTGGGATGTAGATACAATGCACTTGTCCGATTTGAGATTTCAATAACATTCAGAATAATTGTTCAGCACTAGTGGAAATCATTTAAAGTCATATCTAAAGAGTTATTTTCCTTCTACTTGTTCATATTTTATGTTGTCAATGGTGTATTCCAGCTCTGTTGAGTCATCGCAGCTCTCAGCCTACTTTTATCTAAAAGTAGATTAGCATCTCTGCTTTTGACCCAAGAGCAGTGATCATATCACCGTCACACTGGCTTCCGGCTGAGATCTCACTATATAAGGGTACAAAACATCAAAGTCTATCATTTTGAAGCCAACTTATAATGCTCTAAGAAAAACATACAATAAACGTTATTTTGAGAGTTTTCAGTACTGTAATGTCCTGTTATTTTTCCAAGAGGACACTCAAACTAACTTTTGCAAAGTCGTAAATCCAAAACGTTCATGTTTAAAAGTGGATCATTTTCTTGCTCCCCTTATTTTATTTCATGTTGCAACAGTTCGCTCCACAAAAAAGGGATCTCTCACTTTATTCTGTTGGTTAATGTTTTTAAAACCAGCAGGCATATTTCAATGTGGATTTATCGGATTAAAAGAATATCGTAATATTATAAAAATAAATAAACACATTTTCAATCTTAATCGTTCTATTAAAAAAATGATGTGGTCTGTGGTTAAGACATTGACAATAAACCAGAATGTCCTCTGACCGCTCTCCCTAATTTGTTGTGATCCTTCTACTTTCAACACTAGGTATAAATAAAAAAGTTTAAATGGCTTAAGACTATGTGTCATTTTTGACTCGCTGACAAACGCTTGGACTTTATTGTTAGGTGTTAGAAGGCTGTGTCGTTACAAGGGAGTGTCTAGGGAGTTTTACTGTGCAGTGTTTGCTGTGCTGCGCTTTTCTGATCTAGTTAAAAGAATTATGACCAAACCACTTTGTCTTATTTTAACTATATCCTGGGTGTTAGAGGTTCAAAGTACACAAAGAAATAACAACCAAGGCACCAATGTGCACACATGTTGCTCTAAGATATCTTGGAATTCACTTTTTTCTGAGACTCAACATATCTTTAGGTTTCTCTTACCGAGGCAGAGAAGCACCAAAGAAACCTCAGCAAGCGTTGCGTTTGAGGGAGAGAGGTTGAGTTCAGTTTTGGACCATCCCAGTCCGTTCTGGTTGAGTCTGGACACTATGTAGTCTCTGCACAAGGCTTTGGACTGGGACACCAGCTCCTTGTCAGACAACGATCGGTCAAACACATCCAGGACTTCTGCAGCAAACACAGAGGACCGGCGCAGGACTTCCATGTCCTCCTGCGGGGGGATTCTGGGTCAGAGAGTGTCTGACCTCTAGGGATCAGCTGTGTCTCAGCGTGCTGTCTCTTAATCCCAGAGGAACAACGTTTAACGAGGTGGACAATATGGCAGCTGTGAGGAGAGAAAAACATGACTTAGCGGCAGAAAGAGACAACTGGTTGAATGCATGATTCACATATCTTCATTTTGAAATGTTTCTGTCAGAATGGGTGTGAGACAAAGACACTTTTATTCAACCCACTAGTGCAAAAATGATAGCATCTAGATTGATCCTGCTATACACACTTTTTTTACATTCACAAGGGTGGATACAGACACTGATAATCTAAATCAGAAGAGAACCTTACATAAGAATATGATGGAGGCGTTATTGTTGTGAGTCACATGGTGGGATAGTCAAGATATTGCTACATTTCTTGGGTTATGCAATACCAAGCTGATACCACAAGATGACAAGGGAAATATGTTTGAGTATGACAGCAACAGCCCTCTAAATTAAGCTTAACACGTTTTTAAAAAATGCATATTGCAGGCGTTTTTCAGTGCAACATAATGAAAGGAGAACATCTAATAAAAAAACACGGTAGATTTATCAATATTTAGAGCTGTTGCACGCAATATCATACTTACATTCAACGTTGTGTCCACATTGAGATGTCCCCGCTTATGATGTGATAAATGTGGTTTGCCAATTTGCCTAATTATTTAGAAAACATTTAACAGCTATCTGGTCAAGTGTATCCCAGCTAAAAGAACCAAACAGTCACGGGAAAACAGCTCGACAACTCTGAAAAGAAACAGTTTCAGATATTTAGGAAGCAGCGGGATAAATTTAGCCTCAAGTCTTATTCCTCAAAGAGCTCATGTTGTGTTCGGTCCACTTGTTTCGCCGGAAAGCAACGACTGATCGCAGGGACGCAGTGAGAGGACGCCTACCTGTAGATCCACCTTCCTATTGGCGCTCAATAGGAGCGTTTGATTCAAAGTCAGGAAGAGCCCGGAGGAGGAGTTTGACGCCTGCTTTCTTGCCTTCCAGCAAATAAACAGTCTAACCTGACTACGGCGGACAGAGAGGGAGGTAAATCATCTGCATCTGTATTTTCATTCACAAATCTGTGAAAACCACTCAGAAATAACCTATTTTGTGTCACTTTTGTATTGTTATTTTACTTACTGATTATCCTGTGTCTATTGTTATTTTACTTATTACTGATTATCCTGTGTCCACACTCCTGTGCGTAAAAGAACATGTTGTAGCCTTCCTATAAGAACATTTTTGGTTTCCAAAAATGTAACAATTGTGAAATGTGAATGGAGGAGTGAGTAACATAGCATTCCTTGGTGCATGTGCAGTCTGCAGGTGTAACGAGATGATCTCCTTCCTGAGCAACGTGTTCTTTACCGCAGCCAACAGTGTCTCACCTTAATCCCATGCAGGGCAGATATATATAGATCTGCACATAAAGTAGCCTACTAAAACACACTTAATTGGGGTTTTACATGCTGTTGTTTTGTAATTTTCTTATTAAGTCAAAAATAAAATGAAGCTTTTGTTTTGAAAGGTGCTGTCAAAATATTTGATCATGTATTCTACAACGTCAGAAAAAGGAAAAATAAGGTCAGTCAAAAGAGAAAAGCTGTTATAAACAATGTTTAAGGACTCATTCAGACGTTTGATTTCCCTCTATTTCAGGTGTGTTATATTATCAATATGTCAATCCAAAATGATACTAATTCTGATATGTGATTATGCAAAAAATATCATAGTTATTATGCATATTATTGGAGGAAGTTATTTAACTCATTAATATCAATAGGTTTAAACTAGTTGTTAGTTCAGTGTTTGGCCGCTGAGTGTCGCTGTTGCTCCCTTCACTGTTCAGCTCAACATTGTTTCCAATGGTCTCGGGGGTTCATTCATTCAGAAAACATAAAGCAATATTACATTCTCTAAACTAATTTGATGAATAAATCATAACTAGTTTGTGTCTTGGAACATAGTTAGCTTCTTATTGGTACATTAATATAACACCCTAACATTTGCACGTTTTACTTTTTGTATCAGACTGATCCTTGTGCTCAATATGGCAATGACATGTTTCATATAGATCATGCCAAACAAAGACAAATATAAACCTTTCCTTTTTGATATTTTTTTCTGCCGGTAGAAGAGTCTCCACAAGCTTGTCTGGACCAGAAATGCTCTGCATAAATACTGTAATTCATTCAGTTTAAAAATCACCAATAATATGTCTGACTACACTGACAGGTTATGTTCAGCCAGGTTGGTGATTGACACAGCATTGTGGGACCGGTTTACCTTTGACACAGTGGTAGTCGTACTTCTAGTGGAGCTTTATCACTAGAAAAAGCAACATAAAGTAGAATTATTATTATAATTATAGTAAACCTCAATTGACTTGCCCAAACTTGTGTGAACCATTGTCCCTTCTACTAAAAATAATACCATATCCTTATCACATTAAACTGCAATCTCAGTTATTTTTTGAATAGTCCATAAATTAATAAGTTGGTACCTGTTGATATTTCTTTATAAAACAAAACCTGTGTCCGGAGAGATTGAGTTTTCAGTGTTCAGCATGTTGATGGGTGAGTTTCTAAGTGATCCTGTGAAAAGAAAAGAGTGACTTTATAAGAAAACCTCGCCCCATTTTGAGTCAGTATTCACAATCATTTGTCCTGATGAGAAACCTAAACTTTCAAATAGACTCACCCACTCACCCACCCCTAGTTTGTATAACAGGTTGTACAGAGTATTATTAGTAAGTATATAGTAAGTTGAAGTCATTGTTTCAATGTTTTTGGTCAATTTAAGTTATCCAGTTTATTATAGTTTGGTTTAGTTTAAGCTAGTTTAGTTTGGTTTAGTTTAGTTCAGTTAAGCTTAGTTTAGTTTAGACGTTTTGAACTTATACAACTCAAAAACAAAAATCTAATTTATTAAATCAGTGACACGTCTTTTATTTTGAATTATTGACAAATCAAAACAAATGTATACTGACCTGAAAAGGTTTAGAAGCCTTAGCTTATTTCACCAACATAACTTTTTTGTGTAAAATTATCATTAAATGTATCATATGTTTTGTCAAATTGAGTAATTAAAACAAAAATAAATTAAAAAAATATAATTTTTATTTTAAATACCTCAGAAGTCCCGAACCAAAATGAATTACACATTGTTCAGTTTTATAATTGTTATCTTGTATTTTATTATATATATTTTACTTTGACTTGATTTTAAATGTATTGCAATGAATGAAACACAGCTACAGTTGCCAACCATATTACCATATTGTGAAACAACACATTCTCTACATAAGACACCTTGAATGGAATCTAGTTATGTCTCATTACAAACAACCACACAGTGCAGCTCTAACATATATCACTGAAAGGTGGATTTACAAGCTTCGATGACTCTTTTGTTAAACACATTCCCCTGCTATTTCAAAAAATACCGCTTTGCATGTCCACATTCATGATCACTGTCTTAGCTCATTCATGTGAAGCAGCTGAGCTCAGCCTTTAACTTCCTGAGGAATCTTTTCTGTCACATTTTTCAAAATTAGCTCATTGATTATGAGCTGGTATGTTTCAAGGCCGCTGTCTATCGTCTGGCTGTGCAATTAGACCGAGAACTATGTGCTACGGATGTTATGCTGTTTTGTTGTTTGTTAGTTTCTGATGAATTCTATTTGGCCAAACCTTGTCTTACATATTAAGCCAATGTGAAACAGTCACAAGACCTACAAGAACAGGGAGTGTGTTGTAGTGTGTGTGATGGCGGCTATGAAAAACAGCTGACCAAGTGGTTAGAGACAACAACTCCTATTCTCCCATTCAATCTTGGTGAAAAACATATAAGAGTGCAAAACATGGAAACGTTTCTGTCGTGCTTTGCTTTCCGTTCATCTTGGACGTGGACAAAGGGGGCTATATTTTAAGAGTTCAGTTAAAAACATCGACAAAATGCAATAGCCCTTATTTAAACCAACACATGTTGATATTACCTGAGCTGCACACAAACAAAAGAAAATGATTTATCAAAAGTAAGAAACAAGTTGTCTGCATGAATCCTTCACTTGATGTGACTGTATTAACTTGTTTAAAATGAAATGTGTCTTTAGGTTGACTTACAGAATCTGTCGAGGGACTACAGATGAAAAATAGCCTCTTGGCCAACAATGCTTTATCATATTGACAAACAATTCCCAATCCTTGACTGCAGGCAGCTCTGCAAGAAATTATATAGTGCAGCTTCTCCTTTGCAGAAACCCTTGTTGTGTAAACAGTACACATCGCCCTCTTCAGAGATCAATTAGTGAAACTGAACAGGTGAATATGTTAAAAAAAGCTCAGTTTCTCTTCCATTTGAAATTTTGCTGACCTGAGGCAATTGAAACTGAGTGTCACACCTTCAAGTGGCCATTCAGTAGCCACTGGTCAAGCCTTCTCTGAAAAAAAGAATACCAAGAAATGCTGTCTACCTGACAAACGAACAAACATTGAACTTAACATCTTAAAACTGTAGTGAAATTCTTGGAGCAAAGAACTAGAAGAGTATACTGGAGAGCTCCGAATGGATGTCAGATACTGAAGATTTATTGGAAGGAGAATTTACATTTTCTGAGACACAGTAGTGACACATCCTCCTTCCCAACTGTGAAGTCCTCGTCCCCTTGTGCCTGCCACTTAACCAGTCCTAAGAGCAGAATTCACATCAAACTACAAGACGCTGCAAATCCTGTCCCTGTCAGGGTCAAACTGTCCTCAGGGAGGTTCTACCTGATAAGATGGACTCCCAGATGTCTCTCCGGCTCTTCTCCGTCAACTTTGTTCTGTTATTGTCTGAAGAAGAGATTGTTTTGTATTCATATCTAAGACACAGCTAGAGTTGAAGCCTTTATTTGATCAATCACACAGAGAGAATGCTGAAGCCCAAGGCTGTTTGCCTGCCTATGAAAGAGGAGTGAGAGAAGAGGTAAAAGCTAAGAACTAAGTGACCTCTGAACAATCAAATCAAAAACCACATCAGCATGTCATATTTGTGCATAAATCAAACATTTATTGATTTAATGTCTGTGGTTTTCATGCATGTACTTCATTGAAGAGCCACCATGTGTTAAACTGTCATTCAATATGTAAACAGTCAGTCATGACTCTTTCCCCTCCCTCCCTTCTGTCCCTCCTCCTCTCGTGTAGAGATTCTTTTCATTCCAGTCTGCCTTTTATCTATCGTACGACTTGGGGAGTACATTTCCAACTTTACGCAGGCCTCACGCCCATGCCTGATTAAACAGGTTAAACCAGAAACTCTGGAGGGCTCGTCATAGCGGCAAGGATTGGACGGGTACCCAACCTCTGCGACAGGGATGGGCAACTTTAAAAGTGACGTTAGGTTAGTTAACATAGGAAATCTCACCTTTAGCCTAAATCCTGTTTGAGGGACATGAATGAAGTTGAAATATAAAAACCTTCCTTATTTCCTTTGAAACTATTCAGATAATTCACAAAAAAGAAACCCTGTGACCTCGTAGGTTAATAATTGTGCAACCTTTATCAAAAATGTTGTTGTTTTAGTCTAGTTTGCTAATTAACTGAAGCATCTTCATTTTGATACTGTTTATTTTTTAACCTGTAACTTTGTTTGTCAATAAGTGTGTCATATTGTGGACTTCTTTAACCAAGGCATGTTACTCCATGACCCCATCCCCTTTACCACCAGTGATGAGGCAGGACCAATCGCAGAGAGGCTAAGTGAGGATATGAAGGTGGGGCTAAGCACTGAAACAGGGTGTGGTCCTGAAACTAGCAAGATTTGTAGTAGTGCCCCGGGGTTTAAATGGACTGCCTGACTGACATTCCCATAGTTATCTTAGTTTGCTCTGTCTC